TGAAAAAGATGATGTTTCAAAAAACTGAGCTGTAATTCACATTCCATAAAATTCACCATTTAAGTGGCCCTCCCTGGTGGTGCAGCTGGTTAAAGCACAGTAGTAAGAAGCTGCAGCCACTTGAGCATGAGTTCGATCCCGGCCCCAGAGGTGACCCACATGGCATGGCAGACCTCTCCTGACCCGCCCGCTGCTCCCCTCAGCTGTGTACTTCGTCAGTCAGCCTGTTCTGCTCCCCACTCTGTCTCTGGTGAATCCTCTCACCACCCCTGCACCTCTGGCCTGTACCCCAGTTCTGTATGCATAAATAAATAAATTTTTAAAAATTCACCATTTTAAAATGTTCAAAACAGTGGTTTTTTTTTTTTTTTGGTATTTTCACAAGGTTATGCCTCTAATACCACTAACAATTTTAAGTTATTCTATCACTCCAGATACAAACCCTGTGCTCTTCAGTGGTTACTCCTCCCTGGTCCTGACCACCAGCGATATACCTTTTCCAGAAATTTGCCACCTTGGGACATTTAACCTACATGTAATCATACAATATGTAGCCTTTGTGTCTGGCTTCTTTCACTTAGTATAGTGTTTACAAGGCTCATTTATGTTCATAGCAACAATCAGTGCTTGGACCTGCTCCTTTTTTGTGGTTGAATAATACTTCATTGTGCAGATATACCACATTTTATTTACCTACTTTGCCATTGATGTATGTTGGCTTTTTTTTTTTTTTAAGATTTATTTTTTGTACATACAGAACTGGGGTACAGGCCAGAGGTGCAGGGGCAGAGAGGGGATTCACCAGAGACAGAGTGGGGAGCAGAACAGGCAGATTGTCAAAGTACACTGCTGAGGAGAGCAGGGGGTGGATCAGGAGAGATCTACCGCCTCGGAGGTGGATCACCTCCGGAGCAGGCGGGGATCCAACTCATGTGGAAGTGGCTTTAGCTTCTTAGAGCTATGCTTTAACCTGCTGTGCCACCAGGGTGGCCTGATATTCTTTTTAACTATTATGAATAATGCTGCTATGACAATTAGTGTCCAGGTTTTTGTGTGAACATGTTTTCAGTTCTTTTGGATATATATCCTAGGAGTAGAATTGCTGGGTCTGATGGTAACTATATGTTAGTTTTTTGAAGAACTGTGTTTCTCAGTGGATAGAACTTTTTCCAATACCATCAGCAATATATCAAGGTTCCAATCTCACCACAACATCATCAACACTCTGTAGTAACAGTTGTCCTGGCTGGAGTCAAGAAGGCAACATATAAACTAAGATTTAATGGACCTGTAGAAGGAATTGAGTTATATGGATGTTCAGGGGAAGAGAGCTGAGAAGGACTAAGCCTCAGGTGAGGTTGCCTGATGTCTCCCAGGACAAAGGATGGCAGTGATAGTGGACTGGTGTGTCTGAGGGCCAAGTAGAACAGGGAGAAGTTAGAGAGATAGTTCCAGTCGGTGAAGGGACTTGAACTTTGACTCTGAAAGAAAAAGGAAACAGAAGAGTGATGTGATTTGACCTACATGTTAAAAATATCACTAACTGCTGAATTCCTTTGGGAAATGGAGAAGAATCGGTGAGGCTATTGGTAGATTTTTGCCATAATGGTGAAATCTAGGGTAGTGGGTGTTAGGTGATGCAAAGTGGTTGAATTCTGCTTTTTTTCCCCCCTTCTGAATTAACAAGGTTTACTGGCTGATTTTGAGTGGAATATGAGAACAAAAGGACCCAAAATTTGTGGTTCACTCACTTTTACTTGAAGTTAAAGCAAATTAGGAAGTATAGTCAAATTCATTTTTCCCCTTATTTAAGTTAGACTCAAGATTCTTCTTTAGCTAATCTCACAAGTTAAGAATTTGCCCATAGTACTGATGATTAATAATAATGATGATGATGATGATACCCTATTAAACCTATTAAACAGGCCCTTTAATCCAACTACCTTGTGAGGCAGGTATTATTGACCTGAATTTATACATGTATAAACAAAGATGTGATTAATAACTAGCAACTTCCCTAATTTTTGTCTATCCTTCCAATTTAGGACCAACGAGAGAAAATCCAACATGCACCCCTAACTCCTACATTGGATGCCATGCAGATTCTAGTGAGCTATCCAAGCTTCCCCACACCAAAGAGCTCCCTGTAGTTTGCATAGGAATCCAAGTTCAAAGCTCTTTTCTCTCCCACACAGTTGTCTTCACTCAAAAACAAAACAAAAAACCAAGTGGAGATTTTTGTGAGCACTCATTTTCTTTCCACCTAATCCAATATTTAAACATCCAGTATTTGCACAGTGATTTTGACTTTTTTGGTAAGTGCTTTTGAGTGTAGCCTTTGACTGAAAGAGAGAACTGAAAATATCTGAATAAAAGCCAACCAAGCCAAAGCAGTTAACTTACCATGTGTAGGCATTCTTGGCATCTCAATATTTCTGGGCTTTGCAAATGTTTTCCTTCAGGATGTAGAACACTGTGACAGCCAGCTCTCTAGCTAGGGATGCTGGCAAGTGAAACCCAATTGATATGAAAATAGCATCATTCCCTCTCTAAGCATATTTACCCTCCAGGGAAAACTATTCCATCTAAGTCAAAATCCTAATAAAATATATCTTGGAAGTTAGTAAAATATTCATTTATTCTTTAAAAATTTCTAGTTCTTTACCTTCATCACTAGTGATAAATGATTATGGCAAGACTTTTAGCTTATTTTAGTTGCAAATTGCCCCCCCCCTTTTTTTTTTGGTTTTACAAATAAATCAGCTGATACCATATCCAGAAATATGAATTAAAATATCTATCAAGTTCGGTCTAAAATTGGGTCTGAGTCATCTCTTTATCTGTAATTGTGACTTAAAAAATATCTGTCAGCATATTCACTCTCACAAGGCCTTTTGAATCTATCACTCATGAATATCAGGTTTTGGTGTTCTGTGTGTCCTGGAAATTTGCTCGCCAGACCTTCACTCCTCCTTCCTCCTTTCAAAAGTTAAATCACTTCTTGACTTACATGAGACCTCAGCCAATCTGTCATGCCAGGTCACTGTTGTCCCTGAGTATAGCATCATGGTTCTGAACTTTGAGCCGTGTAGGGGAAACAATTAAAATTTAAAATACCAGAGAGTCATTCCAGATCTAAAGATTTAGGATTTCTGGAGGTGATGCTCAGACAAATGTATAATCAAATGTCCCTGCCTAACATTACAACTTGAGAACCCATCACAAACCAATCACACATTCCAAAAAACTGATGTTGGTTTCTGGCTGTAAGACCTCAGGATGTTTGGATTCCAGTCTTCTGAGGTGGTGCATGTAATGACAATGCATGGGAGTGGAAGCTATGGGCTGGCTGTCCAGGCACAGTCCATCTGTATCATAGGACTGCCAGACAAATGCAAAGAAAGGGGGCAGGTGTCGGAAAATTTGTTGAAGAATCAGGACAACCTAGACTTCAAGGGTGTGAGGAGATGGGGGCATTGGGAAAATGGCTGTGATGGAAATTAATGAACACATGTTGAGAGTAGTGCTAGATAGCAAGGCCATGATAATTTGATTTATTTCAACAGGCATTTGTGGGGTAACTTCTCGGTGCTCATCATTGCCTTAGAGTGGATGGCTCCCAATTTGGGCTTGACTTAGATTTTAGCTATGAAATGAAATTTCAGTACCCCATATTCACTTTATTAAGTTTAAGTGCCTGGGGGTAGGTTCGGAAATCTCTAATATATCAAACTCCCCAAAGGCATCCGATCCATCGTCAATGGACCAGGATTTGGAATGAATCTCTATTCCACAAGAAGGAATAAGGCATGTGTGTGTCTCTAAGAAAGGGGCAAAGTAGTAGTGAGCAACATGTTTTACCAAATCTCCTGACTCGGCCCTATCGTTGCTCATATCCTAAATTGTACTCAGGTTGTTTCTCTTCTCTGAAATATCTTTTCCTCACCTCCGCCTTGAAAATATTATCCATCCTTCAAGACCATTCAACTGTGAGGAGAACTGGGACCACATCCCACAGCTCTCCTAGGCCCACATCCATTCACAACCAAATAGCATTGACATCCACCCTCACAGTATCTACTCCATCGTCTCCTTTTCCTTCCCATATGCACCTCTTCACCCCACCTAATCCACTCAATGGCTTTTTAACATATCTCTCAACTCCCTCTGCCCCCTACTCCAATTTATTCTCTACGGCTCTAATAATTTCACATCATTCAATTACAACTATTTTTCATGTTACAAATAAAATTTGCTATTTCCTCATTATCAGTAAAGGTTGGGAAGCAAATAGACCTACTATGTCATTTAGATTTCCTTTGATTTAAGGCATTAGAACCAATTCTAACTAAAGCAAAAATTAATCTGAACTAGTGCATTTCCATTCTATGTACAATTTTTCTCAAAATTCTCATTTTTAGAGAGTCTATGATTGAACATATTTTGAATACTTGTTCATGGGAAGATAGAAGAGTGGCTGAAAGAGCAGCAACAGTTATGCCCATAGAGGAAAGATGGTTCTTACAAAAAAGAATTGGGGTGTTGTTGCCAAACAAATGGATGTTAGGAAGAAAACCAAAATATCCCTTACACCCTAAACATGGCCCAAAGCCACTTAAATTAAGATTGGAAGCAGAATGGAATCCTGTGCTTTCCTGAAACATCAGAGGTCACAATGGAGGAAAGTAACCAAGGAAGTGCAATAGTCTCAACATACTCAGGGTTGGGGGAGGAGGGAGCTAAGTGGTTTGAAGCAAATATTTTGAAATGCTGTTTTAAATGAGTCAGAAGTCACTGTGAGTCATAGGTACATATAAACCATTTTCTTTCTTTTCTTTTTTTTTTTTGTCTGTGATCACCCATTTTCTACTATACTACAATGTCTTTGCAAAACATCCTATAGTTTTTGTTTTTTTTTAAAGAGTCAACCACCATAATCAAGAACAAACAGAATTTCATTGGGGGAGGAAGTCAGTAGAGTAATGGCAACATCTATATCTTTAGGAGGGTAACAAGTCTTCCACTTCCAAGTTCAAGAAAGGCGTGATGAACTCCCGTAGTTCCCACATTCTGCCTCTCCCAAGAATGGTGGGGAGCAAACTTTCAAAGATAAATGTAGCATCAAAAAATAGTAAGTAAAATGACAGGACAGTGAAGGTGAGGACATAAAACATGATGAAAATCCTCAGTGCACGTTTCCTAGGAGGAAAGAAAACATGTGTTAAGAACAGTCTGAAGAAAACTGCCTTTAATTCATGGTCCCTCCATTCACAAAGAAATGAATTTCTTTTCATCTCTGTTGACAACTGCAAAAAGAAGACTTGCTTGGAGTATGTGAGCACCTAAACCAGGTCAGCCTCTGGAATTCCAAGGCACAACATCCATGAAACAGTGGAACCCTGGATAGGATGGGGCTCTTTCTTTCCAGATGCTCTTCTCCCACTCAAGTTGACTATTGCCATCTTTACCTAACCTGTGAAGTTTCTGATGCCTATTTGGGGTGAAATTAAAAGCACATACAGATTTTCCTTGGGACATATGATGCAATATGACAAATGCAATCTCTATCACAGATTTGCTCTGGCATCAAAGTTGTCATATAAAATAAAATGACCTTTTTCAAATTTGTTGATGACTTCTACTGGGCTGTTACTCTGGTGTATTTTATTGATTTGCTTTTAAATCTTGCATTATTGTCTACTTAAAAATGTACTCTATAGGCCCTCCCAGGTGGCGCAGCGGGTTAAAGCACTGCACTGAGAAACTAAAGCCACTTCCGTATGAGTTCGAACCCCGCCTGCCCTGGAGGTGACCACATGGTGAGGCAGACCTCTCCTGCCCCGCCCCCTGCTCCCCTCAGCAGTGTACTTCGTCGGATCTGCCTGTTCTGCTTCCCCTCTGTCTCTGGTGAATCCTCTCACCCTCCGCATCTCTGGCCTGTATCCCAGTTCTGTACGAATAAATAAATAAATTAAAAAAAAAATGTACTCTATAATGAGGGTAGAAGATCTGGAAAATCCAGAAGAACACACAGGAGGGAAGCAATGTCACAGATAATCCAATTACCTGGAATTAATTATCCCTTTAATACATTTCAGAACAGAAATTCTATAGTATAGTAAGTCGGCTATGGATGTATTTCCATGATTTATAAGAAATACATATTTGGCCTTTGTCTTCTTTCTGGCAAAGAGCTCCCAAAACCCTTAGAATTCTCTAAGTATTAAGAGTGGACAAAGATTTCTTGTTTTCTCGAAAAGGTGACTTTTGGAAGCAAGGAAGTCTGGGGATTGGTTTCCAGGGGACCCATCAGGTGATTACAGGGATTTCAGTCTCACCCACAAGGGCTGGGAAAAGGCCTAGAGTTTGGATCCATTACCAATTATGCCTAAGCAATTATGAAACCTCCATTAAAAGACAAAAAAAGGAGGGGGCTGGGGGTGGAGAGTTTCCAAGCCTGGAGATTCAGGGTGAATGTTGTACCTGGAGAAGGCATGGAGCCCTGAGGTCTTTCTCCAATCCCCTCCCATATCTCTCCCACCTGGCTATTCCTGAGTTATAACCCTCTATAGCAAGCCAACAATCTATAAACTAAGTATAAATGTTGCAAGTTGTTCTAGAAAATTAATTGACTTCAAAGAGATCATGGTGGGAACCTCTGAGTTGGTCAGAAATAAAGTTGGTGGGTGCTGACCCTGAACTCACATTAGTGTTTTCAGTCAGGGATGGATGGGCAAGGGTGGCACAAATCAGGGGAATTTGAGGTGTATGTTCAGACAGATAGTGTTCTGAAAAAATTGACTGTAATCATGGTTTTCTTCCCTGCTCTCATGATTTTTCGGGTTCTTTATTCCATCCTTTTCACTGGCATCATCTTCACTTATTAATTTAATGTTTTTGAGTATTATGAACATCTTTTGTACATCATGTCATAAATTGATTACGATTCCTACTTTCAAGCAGCCCATGAAGTAGTAGGAGGGGACTGACTTGAAACAACTTAATTGTAGTAATACACTATGCGTCTCGTGGTATGATTATTTGGACACAGAGAGAGCTGACTGGGGGTAAAGAATCAAATAAGTTTTCTTAGAGGAGGGTTCTGTTTAGGGCATAGATGTAGGTGCTGCATCTACAAGTTAGGATTTGTCAGTATACATGTGTCCAAATGTCCACGGGAGAGGTAGCCTGTCCAGCAAACTCTGGTTTTCAAATCTGTTTTGCAGGCATGCTGCTTGGTGGAGGTGGCTGTGTCATCCTCCATGTGAACATGGTGTTATCTAAAACACTAAGAAATACCCAGATCTGTATTTCTAATGGCATCAATCTATATCTAAAACAGTAAGTAAATCCATATGACCCTAATAAACTAGAAGGCCTTTCAAGCATATGCATAGGTAACTTATAAAAGAAGATAAGACACCACAAAATGTTAATCAACCCTTGGAAAATTTCAATCTTACTCTACTCCATGAACTTTGGGGCCTTTGTTGAGCCCCCAGGGCCTCTTTCTCTGACTTACCAGATTGGGGGAGGAGAGCTCTGCACTAACTGGGGTGGAGACTGAGGAAGCAGAGCCTCCATTTTTTCCATACCCATTTCTTCAGGATTCAGAGTGTCTGTTTTGCCTTCCTGCGTTGGGTACACCCCCAACTTTGTTTTCTTCTGAGTCATATCCTTGCAAAAGTCCTGGGGGGAAAAAAGCAATCAACTATCACTTTTGAAAATGGCTCAGGGTGTTTGCCAGTCTTCTTGTAGCTGATGCAGAGAGTTTTTTCCTCTGGGACACCCACAGTGCAACTCACATGTGAGTCCTGTGTGGTCATTGGCAGGTACATACTCACCTAACACAAAGACACAGCCACAGATTAAGGTAGAGAATTAAACACTGTTTATGTAGGATGGTGATTATTCTTGTACTGAATTCATTCATTCCATTTGCTCATCTATAGGAGACATCTACTGAGAGACTCCTACCAGGTACTAAGTTCAGATAGTGTTAACACAATAGGCCAGGAGTTAAATATGTGTTCAAGGAGCTGGGGGATAGGTAATAAGCAGTTAAACATGTAGACATTCTATGCTGTCGCTTAAGATACATGCTAAGGAGGGAGACAGATTGGCTGAGGCCTACAAGTGGGAGGGTTGGACGCCTCTTCACAGGTGACAAGTTGGTTGATTCAATCATTGTTTCATCTGCACTTTCTCATTTGCCTCAGTGTATATGATCTTCTGGGAGATCAGAGATTGCATCATTTTTCTTCAAGGGGAGACTAGGTGAGGTCTAGAAGAGAGGTGATATCTGAGCTGAGCCTTGAAATATGTGTTCTGTGGAGACACAGAGGACAAGCTCCAGACAGAGAGGAGAGAGGTAGAGGCACTACTGGGGGACATAAGGCATAAGGATAAGAAGTGGCTTTGGTCCAAAGCAGCAGGCAAGGCTAGCAATACACCAACCTCTAGGGAAAGAACTAAATCATGATTTAAATTTGTCTTTTTAAAATTTTACCATTATCTGAATGTGTGTAACTGGAAATCTTACCTCTATTCTTGTGATGAGTTTCTCTTCCTGAAAAAAAAAAAAAAACCCACAATTTTGGGTAAAATAAAACAGTAATTGTCAGGTTTATACAACAAAACCTTATTCATTTTGACATCGTTTGTTGCACAATGGCTCCATGGAAACTGACTTTCACTCAGCAAAATTCTTCCAGTTAGGGTAACTTCATAATGCAATTATGAGATATTGCAGGAGGAATAGCTCAAAGATTAGATTATTTTCAATATATTAGAAGCAGAAATTCACAAAATAACAGATCATTATAAACAATAATTTCTCTCTATTCAGGACCCTTTCCTCGCTGCTTAAAAACTAGTGGGAGAAATATAGTATGTTTATGAGGGGGGGAAATTTTATGTTTGTTAACTCTCTTAAAATTGGGAGTCTATAAATAGAAGTCCTCATTCTATTAGTCAGAATCTCCAGGGCTATCTCTTAACAAAAGAGCTGCCCACAAAGAGTCTGACTTCTCTTTACATCCCAGCCCTCCCTGAGGTCCCTAGGCAGAGAGAACAGATGGTTTGCCTGCTTTCTATCAGTAAGATCAAGACACAGGCTGAAAGCAAACCATCCCCTCTTAAGACATGAATGCCAGTTGCACATATGTCAGGAATAAATAATGCTTTGAAAGTTTGTTAATTAATTATCCCATAATGGACTTGCTGGATACCCTGAAAATCAGAGCTACTGCAGAAAGGACCCCTTTTGGAAATTTAAGGAAGATGCATTGTCGATATGCCCTATCTAGAAACTGATTCTTAAAGAAGCAGTTGTAAAGGCAAGCAAAGATAGAGATTCCTGAGGCATACTTTGTAATGACAAATGTTGATTATAAATTCTCAACTATCCAACAAAATGAATTCATGTATCTGAAATTACATGAAAATTAGATCCCTCATCATATAAGCATTAAAAAGGGAAAGGCAAAATGACATCTCCTGGTATCATACGTTGCTAAGGAAAACATAATTGGTGAAAAAAGTAAGTTGTTAAACAGTCAGTATAATATAATCTCATTAAGTCAGAAATAATAATACGTAAATACATATATAGCAAATGTCGGAAGAATGGAAGCATAAGAAATTGTCCACTATGCTTATCTATGAGGGGGTGGATTTCTTCTTTATTTTAAAGTATGAAATAATTCTCTAAAATTGCAATGATTAAATTACTTTTGTTCAAAGAAAAAAATACATATGCATTTAAAAAAATTTAATGGGGGAGCAAAAGCAAAACTGGCTCTTCCATTTTAAATTTTTTTTTAATGAATGTGTGTTTTGAGTCAATGGTTTACAGCACTGTATGTGTGTTAGAAGCACAGGTTCATAATTCTACAAATGGATCTTATCATGTCACACTCACCACCAACCCCCCCATAAGCCTCCACCAAAGTCCAGTGAGCAAGAGTGATTCTTTTCATCTTGAAGTTTACTTTATCTTTCTTTAAAAAAAAAAAAGATTTATTTTTATGCAGACAAAGGTGGGGTATAGGCCAGAGGTGCAGGTGCAGTGAGAGGATTCAACAGGGACAAAGTGAGGAGCAGAGCAGGCAGATCGACGGAGTACACTGCTGAGGGGAGCAGCAGGCGTGTTAGGAGAGGTCTGCCGCGCCATGTGGATCACTTCTTGGGCGGGATTGAGCTAGCCCTGAAGCAGCTGCGGCCAGCTTCCAGTGCTGCGACCTAACCCATTGCGCCACCGGGGCGGGCCCCCTATTTCATCTTTCTGAGTCTTTTGAAAATGAGGATATAGACTAAATGACAGTAAGCTCCCTTCCGTGTCTAAAATTCAAGTCTATTTTTTAGTGAATTGTTGATTCCAAGTCTGAGATTTCCTTGAAGAGGTGGTTTTCTTTGTGCCTATAAAGCTATTTTATCCTTACCTGGACAGATTTACTATCCATTCCTCCTAATTGCTTTTTAATATCCACAATCTTCTCCTTTAAAATAAGAAGAAAATACAAGTTGTAGTGAATGATGTATGGAATTGGAGAAACTAAAGATGATCATTTTTAGGAGAAAGTTTACCCATCATCAAAAAAATCTCAGATTTAAAAGAAGCTGTCCCTATACTCCCCGCCCTCCCTTACCCCCCCCCAACTGTTCTGGATGCTGAGCTCCAAAATCAACATTAAATCAAGTCAGTAAAATATTATTGGACATCCTATGTCTAAGGCCATTGTGCTGTTTGGACACGGGCAGTAAGAGTGTTTGCCCTGAACAGCCTGTGAAGAATGTCCCGTCTACACCGTTCTTTTATCCAGCCGCTATGTGGTATGTTCATTGTTTATAAAGGAGTTGTGATGTGATCATCCCATTTTATTAGGTTCCCTAATTTATTCATAAGATAAATTACACAGTACTTATCAAAGAGAATTGTGTTTCTGATACTGAGCAAGTCTAGAAGTGCAGGTGGAGATTTCAGAAAGCTCTGCCACTGGGTGGCTCAGTATCAGGCAGTCCCCAAGGGCCCCTTCAGGTCTTTTCTGTCACTGACAGGACTTTTAAATTTGTTTCTTTTGTGTGTGTGTGTGTGTGTGTGTGTGTGTTTGGGGGGGAGGGTGTGGAGGATGCTTTAGAAATAATTCTACCAATCTTTCTCTTCAGACCTTTCTGAGTCACTCCATTTTAATTAATTTTAATTTATTATTTTAATTTAATTAACTCATTTCTCCTTTAGTTCTCCCTGACTTGATTTGCTTTTCTCTCTTTCTTCTTCATGATCTTTAGTTTCCTCTTTGTCAGAATAAACCCACAACATTCCTACAGCTTTTGTTTCTGCAGTGAATGATATGTAAAATGTGCTATCATGTGTATCACTGTTTTTGTTCTAACACAGCCTTTCCCATTAACCTTCAGACCTATGGAGCATAGGTTAGTGATTCCAATAAAAAAGGTAGTAAGACACAGACTTGTCACTATTTTAGAGTCTTTACTTCAAAGTCCTGAAGTTCTAGTAGAACAGAATAACTGCCAGTCTTAAGTCTGCTTCATAGCCAATGTAAATCACTGCCTTTCCCTTCCTACAGTCTCTTTTTAAAGGGGGAAATTAAACTTTTCTCTGAAGAGTGTCTCTAAGGAATATAAGGAAATAGAGCAACAGGAAAACTTTGGAGACTGTGCAATCCAAAACAACTCCTCCTTGGGAAGGCTCAAAGAAAGTGCAAATCTCTCTCTTTCTCCAAGACGTTTATCCCATGTCTTCTTAGGTGCTGGAGAGCAAAGATTAAGAACAGAGATTCATTCCTTTCCAAGGCATCAAGATATAAACTAATCAGATTATCTTGACTGAATGTTTAGGTAGAATAGAATAGTCTAAACTTTTGGTATCATCACAAAACACAGGTCAATGGCCCTCAGGGAAATTGTTCCTAGTGACAGAAGGTGGGTGTTAATTCTGTTATATCTGACCTAGCAAACAGCAGGAAGGTGAGAAGAGTTGGCAGGGTTTCCACAACCCCCCAGATTGTCCAAGTCCTTGCTTACCTCGATGTTTGTCCACTGGTCAAGGTCAAGGTCCCCGTGTGACTCTAACTTTTCAATTTGCCCTTCCAGCGACATCACCTCCTTTAACAAGCTGCAAACAGACGAAGACATGGACTCAGACCTGTGGATTAAGAATAAAATCACCCAGGGGACAATCTATTTTGATCTTTCAAGAATGAAATCCTATTCTCATGTAAGAAGGTAGCTGGGTAGTGATTGTATTGGGATGTGAAGCTACAAATGCAATCCAAGAAAGTAACACTCTGAATAACCTAGATGATAGTAAAGAGATAAAAGGACTAAGTGGATACAAGAACAGGAGATTGAAATTATTAAAATAGAAGCTTAGGTAAATTTTTTTACATTAAAAAAAAAGTTTAAACCTTGAAAAATCTTTAGAACGTAAGACTCAGCAAACAATTCTTAGGGTTGGCACTAACAGTACATTCTATAAGAAGGAAATGGATGAATTGGAACTCATCAAAATTTAAAACTTTTGTTTGGCCAATGGCCCTGTTTAGATTTGCTTATCACATATTTGGTCAAGGCCTTATAGCTAGAAAATATATAAACACTTCTCAAAAACAAACTACCCAGTTAGAAAACAAGCAAACGACATGTATAGATAGGCTTTCGCTGCGAGATACCTGGATGGCAAACCTGCAAATGTTCAGCGCCATTGTCATCAGAGAAATGAAAGCTCAAACCATGATGAGCTCTCACTACACACAATTTAGCCAGGTGTTAAAAACTTCACAGTGTTAGCAATTGTAAAGACATGTAGTTTTAAAATATGGTTTTATTACATCTGAAAACACATGGGAAATGTCCATGAGTTTCACAGAATTGCCAGGAGCACATGGCAGAAAAAGTTAATAATGACTTCATTTGGCTTGTGCAGAGTCCAGCGTGGGCAAAAACACGAATGCATCGTGGTTTTTTTTTCTTTTACCAAGTAAAAGAAATTACCCCCAAAGGCATGAACCGTTTCCTGCTATCTTCTGGTATAGCAAACTGTTGAGAGACTAGATCGTGGCCACTGGCAGCTTGGCTGGGGAGAGTGATTAGCTACTTGGGAAGGGATGAAAGCATTTGTGTCTCTTCTCTGTGGTGTCTACACAGCTGTAGGTAGCTGAGTTTTCAAAAACACACAGATCTTTATAATAAAAAAAAAAATTTTACTCTGTATAAACTATACCTTGATAGTTTTAATGGAAAGAAAATTTCCAATTTCCATTAAAATGAGGGTTTGAATTCATAGTCACAGTATTTGAAGATAAATACTATTAATGCTTTGGAAGAAGAAAAAGGCCATTTTGGATAAAGAGAAGCCCACTGGATAGCATGTGGCCCTGAGGGGTCTGGTGATGAACTGAACACAAAGGTGCTTAAGTAAAAGTGGATACAGATGGTATCTAGAAGAGTTTGGAATTCAGTAGGAAAGCTCAGAAGACCAGAAGAAATGATGTATAAAAACATCTTGCATTTATTTTTTGTCATACAACAGTGATACATTAAATTCTTCACATATAAAATTTTATTTCATACCCACAACAACCCAATGGTGGGCCCCGGCATTAGTTCTATTTTACTGAAGAGTGAGTCAAGCCTTAAAAAAGCATGAGTCACTTATCCAAGAAATGTCAAGGGTGACACTTGTTGCCTCTGAGCCCAGAGCCCAGTGACTACAAAAATATCAATTAACATTGTCATTTCTATTTCACCTTGAAACTTTCCACTTCAACTCAGGGAAACATTCCATATATACTTTCCTATTTGTTTTCAAGGCACCCTGGTGATAATATTGGACAAAGCTCTAGGGTCACCAGGGACCAGAAGCCCTCCCTTGAATAATGTATGTCATTTCAAAAAGAGAACTTCTGAGGAATCCTTCTTGAGAGAGCAGAGAGTGCTGAGGCCCTGATATCCCTGAGATTTTGTTACAGAGTTGTGGAGTTTCTGGAGCTATGAACTTGTTGCTACCATCTGATGCACCCACCCTCCAGTTACCTCTTCACTGTGTTTTCGGTTAGGCTTATATTTTGTATAGTACTGTTAATTTTCTCCAGCCAGCCTCTGTGATCAGCCCCAAGGTCTTTTGCTTGCTTTCCCATGTGTACATTCCAGTGATTTAGCTGCAAGAACATGTTCTGACCCCTGTTGAACAATTAGCGTCATCAGTTTTAAGGTAGAAAGTAGAAAACATCTCGCCTAACCTGAAGCTCTCCACCTTTGCATGGCAAGTGGCCTGCTTGTTTATTTTCTGTCACTAAAATGAGCCAGGCAGACTCCTAGGCTTCAAGAAAAAAATTCCGGGCATTTATTTGATATCTACTTTACCAGATCTTTCCACAGGTTGAGAAAATAAAGCACACTTTATAGTTAGTGAAATAATACATTATTATACTTTTTATTTCCCAGCATGGAATAAATGTTCACCATTTATTAGGATAGTGATTGCTTCTTGGTGGGAGAGGAGAACTTTATAAGAAGGTAAAGGCCCCCAAGGGCTTATAATTTTCAGATCAAGAAAATAATCTGAGAGTGAAAAGATACGTATTAATTTAGGCTGCAAAGAAAGGTTTGTGAAGAGAATCCTCATTCTCTGCTTCTTTCCCCAGAAATGTCCTCACTCTGCATTCTTGCTGGGACATGCAGGGAATTCTTTGTGCACACAAGTGACTTATGGCTAGAGACATGATGAATTTTAAATCTTATAAGCTTCTCTTAACTCCTCTGCTAAATTTTACTTTCCCTTGCACAAGACATTAATGATACCCCCCTTTGCATGTAATAAGGCTGACCTTTTAGGGATGTTCTCTTCAGAAAATTGCAAAGAAGCAAACCCTTGAGGATCCTCAGATTGAAGGTGACATGTTTCTCGCTCTTTCTGTTCTCTCAGCGTGTCCTGGTCATGCTCAGCCTCCTGCTCCAACATATCCTGAGAGGAGAATGAAAACATAGACCAGAGGGAAGAGTTTTCCCAAGGGGTCCATGTCAAGCTGGAGCCTTCTTACACACTGGTAAGATAAGCAGATGCCCTTCTGCTCCTTTTAGGGAGGAAGGCTTTGCGGGGCCCGTGGAAATCTGTCTTCCTACAGAGTGCTGTCAGGGCTGAGAGCAGCTGGAGCCCCAACTGACCATGGGCTGCAGCTCTCTCTCCTTTCTGCTCTGTCAAAAAATCAGTGTCATGGAAAAAAAAAATAAAAGGAGGTGGAACTGTTCTGTATTAAGAGAGTATAAAGAGATAGAATAACCAGGGCCCTCCCTGGTGGCTCAGGGGGTTAAAGCACAGCACTAAGAAGCTAAAACCACTTCAGCATGAGTTCAATCCCTGCCCCAGAGGTGACCCACATGGCGTGGCAGACCTCTCCTGACATGCCCGCTGCTCCCCTCAGCAGTGTACTTCTCAATCTGCCTGTTCTGTTCCCCACTCTGTCTCTGGTGCATCTTCCCACAGCCCCTGCACCTCTGGCCTGTACCTCGGTTCTGTATGCATAAATAAATAAATCTTTAAAAAAAAAGAGAGAGAGAGAGAGAAAGAGAGATAGAATAACCAATGCACTGCATAGATCTTGCTTGCTTGGGTAGTAGTTAAGAAAAATATGGCTGCATTTGTGACAACGTGGATAGAGCCAGAAGGGCTGATGCAAGTGAAATAAGCCAGAGGAGCAGCTGTCCTGCCTGCCTGTGACTATTCAGGTGTTTTGTTTCCCAAACTTTTCCCCTCGCAAAGCAACAGTGGCAGCTCTCCTGTCCAGCGGTGCCTAGGCTGATGCCTCTCTCCTTTCCTTTCTCCTGTTGTTACTAAACCTGTCCTTGGAGAATGTAACTCAATCAAAAAACTACAGGGAGAAAGACAAATACCAGATTATTTCATTCATAGGTGGAGTATAGTGGGATAACACAAAGGAACTTAAAAACCTCAACTAAACAAAGCCTAGAAGTCTGACTGCAGAATTGAGACTACTGGAAGGGGGAGGGATGGGGTGCAGCAAAGTGGGGAGGAGCCCGTGGACTCATGGAGTTGGGTGTTCTGGCGGTAGGGGTGTGCTGTGATGTGCATCTGAGCAGGTGCAAACCATAGCTGGTGCTGTAAACCAACACCTCAACAAAAATCAACAGTTAATCAATCAAAGAAAAGAAAAGTATGACTGTCCCAGGTTTGTGGTGAATGAGATATTTAGAAATTGAGAGAAGGGAGGATATATGAGATTGTGCTGTGGGACTGGTGCTCCTAATGTAGTAACAGTATTCTGGTCATGTAGAAGATCTTTTCAGAGATGATTTGATCAAAGTAAATAGGAATGAAGCATCATGTATTCTCCTAGGAAATTTTACATATGTAATTTGCTCTAAGGTAGAAGATGTCATTTACCTTACAAATCCCAAGGACAAAGGGAACAGAAAGAGCACTCTTCCTTTTCCTTTTCTTGCACAGCAAGGCCTGAGATAGCCGTGGCTCTGGTTTCAACCTGCCCTCCCTGCTCTTATTACGAGGAAGTCCTGATACATGTTCTCATGCTTGAGATTCGCTCTGGGAGGCTGCTCTCATCACCCACTGAGAAGTATAGGTTTCTCCCTTACCGGTTCCTCAGTTTCCACGTCATGAAGGAGTTTCACCTGAGGGTTTCCAGAGACAATGGCTTCCTCATCATCTGATCTTTCCAAAATGTGACCCATGTTGGTGATTTTCCTTAGTAAACAGCAAGTCACACAATCAAAACAGTTGTGGTCATGATGCCTGAGTCCTATGGTTTATGTGCCCTGGACATTTTTTTTTAACATAATTGTTTATTTTTACATCATTTTGTGCATTTTTTTCATCTTGGTTGTAATCCCCGTGTGTGCCCTGGACATTTTTAGGAGGGAGCAGCCTGGAGTGATTCCTGGTGCCAAGGCACACGCGGTATTAATTTCCATGGAAATAGTGTCCTCTATGGAGTGTGAGACAAACAAGGATTCAGAGGGTGGACAAATATACACTGACAGGATTAACACATGATTGAACAGCCAGAATCCAAATTCCATAGTCATTGTAGCTGTGCATGTATGTAAGATAAGCAAACAATAAATATCCTTGTTTTTTAAAAAGTAGAATTACCACAAGTCCTAAGGCAGGAAGGACTATGGAGAAAGGACTAAATCTACCATGACATTGTGATCTCTAGCCCACATCTTTCTACTCAATGTTTACTTCTTCCTTCTTCTAGAAATTCTATGCATAACTAAGCAGTTATGTTTTTTTAATATAGATGCCTTTTAAAATATAAATGAGACTATTGCACAATGCTATTTTGTACATATGTCTCTTTTTAATGTTATGTCTTGGAGTGCATTTTTTTTTTATTTTATAAGTTTATTTTTACATCATTTTTTTTATTACAAAAGTTTATTTTTACATCATTTTGTACATTTTTTTCCCCATCTCAATTGTAATCCCTGCGGGTTTCCCATCACCAAGTCACCTGTGTGCCATCACCATAATACCATGCATTTCCCTTTTACATCATTTTGTACATTTTTTTTTCCATCTCAGTAGAGTGCATAAAGAGCTGCTCTGTTTTTAAGAAATGGCTTGATAGTATTATGAACCATGGAAATATATAATAATCTGCTCATCAGTTCTTCATTTATGAATATGTAGATTGCTTCTAATAGTCACTGTCACAAACAGTGCTGTGTGAATATCCTCTTATCATTGTGATTATGTGTATCTGTTGGGCAGCCTTAAGGTGGAATTGCTAGGTCAAGAGGCATGTATTTTAAATTTTGATAGAATAGCAGGGGGGAAAAGAAGTAACTGTAATAAAGTAAAAATTGAAATCTTCAGGCAACAATAGATCAGAGACATTCTGTAGGGGAGGAGGGAGACCAGGATAGGAGTGGGGAGGGCACGGGGTCTGTGGTGGTGGTGACTGAGTGAGTTGGTGGTGGGAAATTCACAGGAAAATCAGACATTGTACAAAATTGAAGAATGATGTAATCAATATACTTATTTTTTTTAATTTTGATAGAATTGACCAAATTATGCTTGAAAGAGGTTGAATTCATCTATAATTCTAGCAAAAATGAGAGTGTTTGTTTTCCCTCTCCATTTGTAATGAATGGATTATTAAAACTTTTATCTTTTTTTTTTAGCATTCAAAACATGTATTGATTAACAAATTTCTCAGTATAGTTAACACTAGGAAAGAATAAGAGGGGAGGAAGGAAAATACAGTTAAGGAAAATTCTAACAAATTGTTTTTTTAAGTTGGCATCTCACTGTACTTTTAAATTCTATCAGTGAAGTTGAGCATCTTTGTCTAAATGTATGAAATTGAGTTATATTTTCTTTTTCTATGATAATTTTCTTGGCCCATTCTTTGTTGGACCGTTATTTGGTTGAAGTGAATATACACGTACCTATGTACACACACACACACACAGGTGTACACACATGTACACTCAGATACACACACATCTAAACAAATCACAGTGAATTTGCAATAGCTATTTAATGGCACGAGTTATCGGTCTGTGGGCTTTGACCCTGAAGTAGGGGTCATTCCATACCTTCCAGATATGTGATATGTATAATATTCTCCATGTATATATCTCTGGACTAAATAAATATTGACTACTTTAAAAAATACTGCCAAATTTTCTCGCTTGCTCTCTCTCTATATATATGTATGTATGCATATATGTATGTACATATGTACTTCCATTATTCATAGATTATAAATGCTTTTGATATTGTAAGTTTTTTGACATATGAAGGGTTTTAGAAAATCCTGTACTTTAAAATATCAATTCCTGAGCCCTCCCTGGTGGCACAGTGGGTTAAAGCACAGCACTATGAAGCTAAAGTCACTTCAGCATGAGTTCAATCCCTGGCCCCAGAGGTGACCCACATGGCACGGCAGACCTCTCCTGGCCTGCCCACTGCTCCCCTCAGCAGTGTACTTCGTCAATCTGCCTGTTCTGCTCCCCACACTCTGTCTCTGGTGAATCCTCTCATTGCCCCTGCACCTCTGGCCTATACCCCAGTTCTGCATGCATAAATAAATAAATCTTAAAAAAATATATCCATTCCTTTTTAAAATGGTTATTAATTGGCTTTTTATCATGTACTAACAAATGCATGTGTGCATGTGTGTGGATATTTGTGCTCCCTCTACCCTAAAGAGCACTTTACATGGCTTCTCCTTTAACAGGGAAGATACTAAAGGCACAAAACAATCTACATACTTTCATAAATTGAGACGAGAGTCTTGGCCATTCCTATTTCACAGATATCACACACTAGGCACTTTAGTATGTCCTAGAAGCTACCAAAATATTCATGTGATCACAGTTAGAAAAACTGTGGAGAAGGATGTCGACCTAGTCTTGGACTTGGGAATCTTGCCATACACATCTCACCAGCAACACGACCCAGAAGAGTAGTTCAGCATTCTTACTTACTTCTGCGTTCTCCTTTCAGCACCCACAGTCTGAAGAAAGTCACTGTTTTCCTCAAGCCACTGATGTTCCTTCCCAACTGTCTTCATCTGCAGAGACATCTTGTCAGGTAGCTTCATGAGGGCCATGGCCCCAGCTCTGCAGGGGACAGTGGTGACAAGAAGGGGTTCATGGCAGGATGGGCAACTACATTCCTTGTGCTGACATGCTGACTTCAGGGGCTTTGGCTTACACCCTTCTTCCCAAACTGGCCCTCAATGGGAAAGGACTGCAAAGTGAGCTCTTAGTTTTCTCTGCTTAAATATATACCAAAGTCCTGTGTCTTAAGTGTGACTTATCCCTCAGGACTTCTCTTGTTTACACAAAGTCTGGCTGAACCTGAAAAATGTAGATTTTGAGTCATTGAATGGGAATATTATTCAGCAAAACAAAACAGGCAGGCTAGAGGACATGTGAATAGTTTTTATAACCTCTTCCTAATTATATACATATCTATCATAAAAATACAGGAGGAGAAAGAACAAAATAAAAGTCACTGATAGCCTAGGGATAATTACAAATAACTCAGAGGTGTTCAGACAAAGCCCCTCTCAATATATTGGTTTATTTCTTTCCACTCACACATTTGATAGTTGTTTTATTTTTGTTGTTGCTGTTGTTTTAAAAACGTATTTGTTTATGCATATAGAACTGGGGTACTGGCCAGAGGTGCAGGGGCAGTGAGAGGATTCACCAGAGGCAGTGGGGAGCAGAACAGGCAGGTCGACAAAGTACACTGCTGAGTGGAGCAGTGGGCAAGTCAGGAGAGGTCTGCCACACCTTATGGGTCACCTCTCTGGCCAGGGATAGAGCTTGGGCTGCAATGACGGCAGATAGCTTCATCGGGCTGCACTTTAATCCATTGTGCCACTAGGGAGGGGCCAATATTTGCTTTATTCTTTTCTTAATTTTGACAGTTAGGTTTGTTCTAATTTTTCACTGTTACAAATGTATAAGCATGAATATCCTTGTTAGTAGTTTTCAGTGCATCTCTATTTCTTCCCTAGATTCGTAACTAACAATATACAGATTTTTAAAGCTTTAGAGAAATATCCTCCAACTACTTATCAAAAGGTTCAACCAGTAGACACCACCACCAGTTGTGCTCAGAATAGAATTCTTCTTCATCTTAGCCTGACAGGTGGGTGTGGACTGGCAGCAGAGAGGGAAATTGCTAGCCGCTAAAGTTGTGGGAAAATAAAGATGAAAGCAAAGAGGGAAGCAGGCAGAGAGGGGTGAGTCAGGTTCTAGAAAGCTCATCTGCAAAACTATCAGACAGGATGCACATGGAGCCTACATTCCACTTACTGGGGGAACTCAGCCTCCCAGGAGGAAACCCTCTTTCTACCCAGATGAGTGACAATAGTAAATATACCTTGAAATGGAGTGTGTCCTGGTCCCAGGACGCTAAGGGACAGAATTCCAGAGACATAGCAGGGGTTGAAGACCAACAGGGAAGGTAATGATAATAGTGATTCTCCTGGAAGGCTGGTTGAAGGTTGGATTAGGAACAGGGGGAAGGAAGACAGAGACACAGGTAGCCTCACAGATCTTGGTACTATACATCCCACCAGGGCCAGGTCTCTCACTTGGGGCCATGGAGCTTTAGCCTTGACCTGTGCGCAGATATGTGGCGAATGCAGTACCAGGGGGCCCCAAGGAGAAAGAAGCAACAGGAAAATGTGGGGCCTGGTAATGGACTGGTAAGTCCATTTTATCGACTCAGAGTGGAAGGAGGAAGAATAAAGCTTTGAGCATTTCCAGGAAGGACACTGTGACCCACCCCATGCCATCAGTCCTGTGCAGGCAGGTTCATCTGTTTCCTGAAGATGTTAGGCATTGCTAACACAATTCCAGGCTCTGAAAGATGAATGGACACTGACACTGCCTGGTTCAGTGCCTTTTTCCTGTCCAAACATGAGCCATGAAAAACAAATAAGATTTCCTTATTGTGTTAGCTGATGTCCCAGTGGCTCCTACTGAGCACTACTGATGCTATTAGGGCTGTGGGAATAAATACAGTAACTCTTATAGTGCTTGACACAGTGTCATATGCAAACACTCAGCAATGTTATCTATTAAAGTAAAACTAGTAGAAATGTGAGTTATCAGTAAATTTGCTTTAGCATCATAGAAGTGATGATGATGACGAGGAAAATGATGGTGAAAGTGATGATGATGGTGGTGATGATAGTGTTGATGGTGATGTTGATGATGGTGGTAGTGATGGTAGTATTAGTGGTGATAGTGATGATGATGATGGTGGTGGAGGTGATGGTGATGGTAACAAAAACAGTTATGATGATGTTCACACATGCGCAGTATCTTCAGTTTATAAAGCACTTGCTCTAAGTCATTTCTCCTCACTCTCACATCCACCCTCTTTGGTCTGCCAACTCAGGCAGATATTATTTCCTCTATTGTAAAAATAGAAGTTGAGACTCATATCATCCATGATTTTGTTGCCAGAAAGGGGTAGAATCAGAATTTGAAACCTGCAAATTTTGGCTTCAAGTTCTGCCATCATCCTATCATATATCACTTTTATGCCTGATATGTTGGGATGGATTAGTTAGTAACTTTTTATTTCAAAACCACCTAACTTTTGGAGCTAACTTCCAACTAATTGGGTTGGTCCTTGCTTCTCAAAGCATTGTCCTCAGGGCTCAGCAGCAGCTTCACTGGGGCTTTCTGATGGGCAGGCTCTTTGACGGAACTACACCCCTCACTTAGCATCTGTTCGTTCTAAGTCCCCCCAGGATTCACAGGCATATTAACCTATTAAAGGTTTAAAGTCAAGACCTAAGCTCACATCCCTCTCCTCCCTATCCCCTTTCCCTTCCTTCCTCTATGTTTACATCACTGGCCTCTGGGGCTATTGGGAACAAATGGGATGAATCTTTCCTCTTCCCTCCACCTCATCAGAACCTTGAAAATCACATTTGGAGACGCATAGGTCAACATCGGTTAAAAGACAGTTGATGAATCTAACATTTCAGTGGAAGTTTCTCAAGGACAGCACTCCCTCATAAAACACCTAGTGTTTAGACACGTTGGGATCTCAGTTACTAAAACACAATTCCCACAATCAGGATTTGCTGTCACCCTAAGTTACTTCCTGGCAAGGTTACGATGAGAGGGAACAACTGTGAGATAACACATACCTGGTGATATCCTTGCTGCTCCCGACTCGGTAATCACAAAACCCTCCAAATTCAGTGGGTTTTTGCACCAGGCAAGTTTCCCTGGCAAGTTGTGGTGAAGCCAGAGCCTACTTCCCCGGCCCAAGAGGAGGAGAGCAGGCCATTAAAGGGTCTGTGCACCTCGGCAGGAAAGTTTGCAGTTGGTCTTGACCCCTCTGACATTCCGCTTGGAACACCTTCAACCGCTCCTGTGAGATTCTGGGTTTTCATTGCTCACCTGCCTCTCTCCTAATGTGAATGTTCAGCTTCCTTGTCTCTCTGGAAATGAAACCCTTCTCCTGTTCCAACCCTCAGTTCATCTGTCTCCTAACTTTCTCCACACCTGCCCCTCAACTTCCTTGACAAGCAAAATTCAAGCCCTTCCCAGTAGAGGGCACATCTCCTATGCCTTTCCACATTGGAGGAGCAGGAGGCACTTGGTCAGCACCCCTGGGTGGCACCTGCTGTGGCCTCCACCTCCTCACCTTTGAGCTCTGCTGTCCCTCACCCCTCCACGGCACACTTCCATGTGACCAGAGCCCGCTCACACTTCCCTCCGTACCTCAACATCCCTCTCAACAACCTCAGCCCCACATCCCAACACCATGCTCTTCGGCTACCCAGATCACCAGGCAGCAAGGCAAAGCGCGGTCTCATAGGCGGGCACTTTAGAGTGAGGTCAGTGCCTGAATGCTGGCATTACTATACAGCATTTTGATTGGAAGGCAAAGTTGAGTTTCTTTGTCTGAAAACTGGGTTTGGCAACAGCCGGTTAATTGGTTTGTTGAGAAGATTAAGGAGGTGAGTGAGGAGGGAGTTTAGGTGGAGCTGGGCAGGGGCCGGTGCCAGCTACATGGAGCTCCCTGAGCTCCTGTTTGCATGCTCACTGGCTGCTGTGCCCCAGCCCCCAAAGAGTAGTTTGGGCAGAGTATGTACTCAAAAAACGTTTGTCAAGGGAATGGGATGAATGCACACAGGCTGTTGTCATGGTTTCGTGGCAACAATTTAGTGCTCACCAACACCCTGAGCACCTAAAAGCTCAAATTCAAATGTTTCATTTTTCTTCCCTGGGTCCCACATACCCCCTTCCAACTTAGGAACCCTGACTTTACCACCTGTCACCTCCCACAGTCCTGTTGGGGAGCCTTCAGCCCTGGGCCCCTGCCCCAGCCCAAAGATGCCCCCATTGTGGTTGCTCCAGTGACCTCAATTTCCCTGGAGAAAACCCACCAGATCTTACAAGAGATTCCATGCATTTTAATATTAATAGTAGGAGCAGCAGCAGCAATAGTAATAACAGGTAATGCTCACTGAGGATTTGCTAAGGTGTCAGGTACTCTTTTCAGTGATTTACATATATTAACTAATTCTACCACCTCTGAAAAGGGAGGGACCTAGGGGTCAAACTCAGACCTGGTCATTCGGGCCCCAGCCACCAAACGGTCACACTCCACCATATATATACAGCTGGTGTTCACCTTAGCCTCTCAAGACATTCAACAAAATTTATTGCCTCTCTTGTGGCCTCCCCAGTGGAAGGCCCACAGCTGTCTTCTCTCACTCTAAGTCTCTCTCTGCCCTCTGCCCACCCATGCCATCAGCTCCTGAACCCCCACCTGCAAGCAGTAACCTGGCCTCTGCATTACCTGGTGATCTGGACCTGGATGGGACTCTTGTCCGTCCAGAATGTTCCTTTGTGTCCTTTATCTCCTCACTCAGAGATAGCAGATCCCACGCTTTCCTCAGTTTCCCTCATCCATACCCTGTTCCTTTTGGGAGTGATCTTCCAAGAATTATCAGTTCTCTTTGCAATTTCATCACCTCTTTCTGGGCTTCTCTTCTGCTGGCCCACTGAGGCTCATATTTCCTTGAGGAAAGATCAACAAACCCATCTTTTGTCATCAAGC